AACATAGAACATTTTGCAGTAACTTTGCGTGTAAAACAGTTACAACATGAGACTTCAACCAACAGCAGCTTGTTGACTGTGGGAGTTTCATCATGTTAGCTGATACTTTTGTATTTGTACATGTTCATGAAATGTAGACTGTGGAAATATTAATTATTTGCCCTATCAGTGATGACAGATGATGGTCACACACCCAGTGAGGGTATTTAAAGTCTGCACTTCCATCCCTGATCATCCTGGTTCCAGGTCCTGCTGCTGAGACGACTTCACTGCTCACAACCCAAAGAACGGTAACGTTGAGCTGCTCTTCTTTATCGCTTTGCTTTTAAAATTCAAGTAGATCTTTTGTCATATCATCAGATACTGACTACGACCAACAATGTCTCGGGACTCGCGCTCGTCTTTAGCAACAATGCAGTGATTGGTCAGTCAGGGAGTTTCTTCATTGTCTCAGAAAAGACCAAAAATCTGAGCAAACATGAAAATATGTTTCTATAGATGTGAGGACTTTTTTCAGGGTGGTTGATGCTGCATCCTAATGGGGTTCTATTTACCTAGATATGTAGGTGGGCTTTCTCTTCTTGCTGTTAAATAAAGGTGGACCAAAAACAATCTGTTTGCTTTCATTTGAAATGTTTTTACAGACATTTTTCCAACATGATTTAATATCTGGAGTTTTGACTTCAGCAGGTCAGAAACATAGAAAAGCAAGGCATCAGCATAACTTGGTGATGACTTGTGATCAGAAATAAATTTCTACAAAAGTCCAGCATCTCCCTGCTGCTACGGTTCACCGGGTTTCAGTTGCTAAGACAAATAGGAGGTCATCTAAAGGTCAGCTCAGCCTCGTTCCACTGTACTGCCTAAAATATTCAGAGTCTCGGCCCACGGCTAAGAAAAGACCTTCAGCTCACTTAGTTTGTTTGTTTGATGCCTTTTTGTCCTTTTGTTGTCAGGAAGTTTCAGCTTCAGCCTGTTTTCCTCCTGTAGCTCCGAATTGTAGCTTTAAGCATCTCAGAGTGGCTAACAACGTTAGCACTGGACTCAAGGTCACTGACGCTCTTGTCCTGACACCTTCAGCTGAAGAGTCCAAGGTCACAAAGAAATACTTGGAAGTCGACTGCAAGATGTTCCTAAACTTTCTCTAAATATCTCAGGTACATTGGCAGCATGCTTAGCAGTCAGTGTTCCAGCTGCCTCGTTAGCCTCATTAGCCTCGTTAGCTGTGCTCTGCTGGCTGGAGCTTCCTGCTGCAGTTGATGGATTTGAACATAAGTCATCAAACCTTAGTGCTTCCTCAGGTTTGATAAGAACAAGTGTAAACCATGGCTAGTTAGCCATGGTTGGTGTGAATACATATGACCGCTTTGTAAATTCATTATTCCTGAAAAAGTGAATATTTGTGCTGATTGTCCCTCAGATGGCCTCAGTTCTCTACTTGGCGTTGCTCCTCTCTCTGAGCTGCGTTCTCTGGAGCGGAGCCGATGTGAGTCTGCCTTCTTCTTTTCTCATGTGGAAAACATTATAAAATATTATTGAGGAAATGTTTAGAGTGAAGCTGAGTCACAGAATGAAGAGTTACTGTATTAAACATTTAAAATAAAGTTATTGTGAAAAGTTCAGTATTTATGTCAGACATTCAAACTTATTATATTATATAGATTTTCTTACACATACAGTCAAATATTACATCTTGCATTTGATAATTGCGACTCACAGAGAATGAAAACCCAAAATTTAGTGTTTCCAAAAAGTTGAATATTACATTTGATTGATGATAAAAGATTCTGTTCATTACTGTAAGGGCAACCTGCTGCCCTGCAGGTGGCGCTCCACCAGGTGAGTCTAATCAGGTCAGTCAGCAGCTGGATGATAAAACAGCTAATTGGTTGCTGGCAGGTGAACAGCGAGCAGGACTGACAGACAGTTACATACATATAGGCACTGCAACTGTGAGTTAAAGGTCTTTAAACTTAAAAAACCTTCACAAAGCTCACTATTTGGACTATTAAAACTCCCTCTGGAACTTTTTGTTTAAAGTTGAAAAAACACATGAAATATTGTTAAAATGTACAGAATATTAAAATTGTGTAGTTAAAAATTATCTACCAATTAATTGTACTCACCTCTAAATAAATGCTTTGTACCTTTAAACTTGACAGTTTCTAAGCTCTCAGCACCCGGTCTGGGCTCCTTTTGCTTGAATTCCTGAACTATTGCATAGGGACTGTTTTTCTTTCACTCAACCTTTTATGAATATGTTTGGTTACAGCACTTTAAAATTGATCTGATGTAATAAAAATTTCTGAAACGTTTGGGTTCTGATGCTCTGTGAGAAGTTTCTCATTTGATATGGATAAACAGATACAGGACTTTATATATTTATAAAAATAGGGTTAGGATTAGGGTTAGGGTTAGGGTTAGGGTTAGGGTAAGGCAGACCGTAGGGTTTGGCTCTGCCATATAATTTTTTTCTTTAGTATGTTCATCCAAGTTAATTGTAGGATAAAAACATTGATGAAACTCAGCTAGATTAGCAGTTTTGAGTGACATATGGTTTTATTAATCTCTATGTTCTCTCTATTCACAGGCTGCATGTGGTAAGTATTTCCATCTGACGGAAAGGAAGCTGACAGTTTTGTTACATTTTGACTTTATGATGAATTGTTGATGGATAACAGAAGCCTAAATGTGATACAAATGCTTGTGAACCTGCAGCTTTTTCTTGTTGCAATAGCATTTATTACTGCATGAAGCACAGTGGCATTGCTGCTAGTCTTTCTGTTGCATTTAATGAGACATATATTTACTTTAAATTCATTTTCACTATAAATGCCATAGCTCCTATTTGGTATTTGTTGCACTTCTTTGCATTTCCCAGGTCCTCCCACTCCTGCCAGTAATCCCAGTCCTCCCAGTACTCCCAGACCTCCCAGTCCTCCCAGTACTCCCAGTCCTCCCAGACCTCCCAGTCCTCCCAGTACTCCCAGTCCTCCCAGACCTCCCAGTCCTCCCAGTACTCCCAGTCCTCCCAGACCTCCCAGTCCTCCCAGACCTCCCAGTCCTCCCAGTCCTCCCGGTCCCAGCTGTCCATCTGGTTGGATTAAATATGAAAATCGCTGTTTCTTCTTCAACGGTGCTACAGCAGACTGGGCTACTGCTGAGGTACAGCCACAAAAACCACAGTTGAAGGCAAAAACAATCTGTCACTTTATTTATTTCACTTTTTCCTCCCAAAAAGTTATTGAATAAATGTTGCATTTGAACAATATGAAAAGGAAAGAGAAACAAAGAATGAAATATTTTTTTCTTATTTTTGTCTAGGACAAAATAAGAAGGAATTTTTAGGCCCTCACTCTTATTAGAACAATGGTTCAGTCCAAAGTGTAGGAGGAGCAGCAGCTAAATGGTACCGTTTCCGTTAGGAGCTAACCGCTAGCTGCTAGTTGTTAGCTGCTAGCCTTTAGCTGTTAGCTGCTAGTTGTTAGCTGCTAGCTTTTAGCTGTTAGCTGCTAGCTGTTAGTTGTTAGCTGTTAGCTTTGGCTCTGCAGCACAAACATAAAACCCTCCAGTAAGTAACTTAAAACAAAAGATGTAAACTTTGTATTTATTTTCACTGCTCAATAGAGTGAAATGTTATCAATAAAAATCAGACTGCAGTTTGTTGTTTCATCACTTTGACTGAATCTTGTTATGGTTTGGAAATCAAAACTAGCAAATCTGTGGTTTAGAAACTTTGAGACGTTTTTAAACCACATTTTACATGAGATTTCTTTTCCGACCCCCTAAAATTGGTCTTAAGAAAACTTCCTGTTTATTTTTCCCTCCAATAATTTGCTGGGATTTACGCCCTTGCTTGCAACCTGTTGTGATCCAGCAGCACAAAAAATCAGGACTGTAAAGACAATACAGAGAAAAGAAACGACTCATTTTCCAGACGTTGTTCAATGAAACGAGTTTCAGAGCAACAAAATGTGCTGCTAGCCATCAAGTGTCGCTACAAGTCTGTCTTCAGAAGAGTCGAACAAACTTAACAATTAATCAGATTTTTTTCTTTTTTATTAACTTAATTTTGCTGTTTGTTGCTTTCAGTGTTTATGGTTTGTATTTTGATTTTGTTTGTTTTCTCAGCGTGCCTGCATTGGATATGGTGGAAATCTGGCCTCCATCCACAGCACCAATGAGCACAGCTTCCTCAAGGAGCTGGTCAGATTGAGGTTAGGATCGTACCAGAGGACCTGGGTTGGAGGCCATGATGCCGTCAAGGTCAGTTTTTTTCTTTTCATTTAATTTTTGGTAGTGAGGGATGGTTAGAGCAAATTGTTTGCTTTGTACCCAGAGGAGCTGGGAAAAGGGGCAGAGAGAGGAAATCTGGGTCTCCGACCTCTGACCAGATAAGCAAAGGATCGATGGACGGATGAATGGATCTTGCAATAAATATTAAAATTGTCTTTGCATAAACCACCTGTGCTGGTGGGTTTTATTAGATTATGATCTTTGGGGATGTAAAATTATTCCTGTTACAAAATGTCCCCTGAGGTGAACTTTGGACACCTTATACCCTCAGAGATGGACAGCTGCAGTCCTCAGTGTGTTGGAACCTAATAATAAAATGCATGTATCATAAACTATGTGCTTAAAAACCACTTGGTTTCAGGAGAGTGTGTGGCTGTGGAGTGATGGGTCGAGGTTCAGCTTCACCCAGTGGGGCACAGGAGAACCAAACAACCTTGGTGGAAATGAACACTGCATGGAGATCAACCTTGTTGGTGAGCGTTCTGAAACTCTGAGAACAGAGCTAACGATGCTACGCAGCATATAGCTACTAATTAGTTAATCTGATGATTTTAATAAATCTTAGGACCTTCTGGGTTTGTATCCCAAACAGATTCAACAGCTGCTGAAATATTATTTTATATTATTATTTCTCTTCAGGATCTTCTCTCTACTTGAACGATGAACCATGCACCAGAAGTAATTACTTCATCTGTGCCAAAAGACTCTAACTCCTCTTTCCTCTTCCTGAGAAATCCAACATGACCATGTGACCTTCTCACTGGTGATGTCACTTCCTCCAGCATGTCAGGCCTCGATGGCGTCGCTGCTGGAAGATACAAGGATAAAATCTGATTTCAAATAAATCTGTTGCATCAATAAACTTTTTTGTCATGTCAGTTTATTTCTTTGGAAAAAGATAATAAACTTTAGAGTAAAATACAATTAATAGAGGAAATAAATCTGTCTGTAAACCTCCATGGTAACGTCAAACAAGTGAAATCATGACCCATCAGAGACCAGATGCTTGAGCCACCAGGTTCCCAAAGTTTGGAAGATACTTAGAATAAAATCAGTAATATATATATATTGTCATGGAGTGGTGGTGGAGGTGAGTTGGTGAGGCAGCACGCTGGAGACCCAGGTAAGTGAATAGTGGATAATTTTAATGAAACAGTCCAGAAAAACAGTCCAAACAATAGTCCGCGGCCAGGCAGCACGGCTGAGCAGAAGCCAGGGCTCACAATGGTAGCAACTGGTCTTAAGGGCGGCACAAAAAAACTAACGACAAACAAGGACCCGACCAGGAACAAAGGACACAGGAGGGACTAAATACTGAGGGTAATCAGGGGAACGAGACACACCTGGGAACAATCAAGGGGAAGACAGGACAAGGAGGAGACTCAGGACACAGAAACTCAGAATTAAACACAGAAAAACACAGAACCTGACATGATCCACTTGTTTTACTGTGGAGAAGAAGAAAAAAGGGATGAATAAACATTTGCTTACAGTGCAACTAATAAACTCTCTAAATACGTTATTTAGAGTTTATCTTTATATTTCTGTGGGAAATTTGAAATTTTTGTGCAGATTTGTTGGGTTGTGAGGATGGGGCTTAAACTTTTCACCAGGTTGAAAGCTTCACTTTGAACTGATTTTTAACTTCTTGTTTGGTTCCAGCGGATCATAAAATCCATGTTTTCATTGTATTTTTACTCCTGGAAGCTTCTGACTGATTCTTCTTCAAAACAATTTGCATGGCATGTTGACTGTAAAGCATTTCAGCACTTTTCAAGGTACGGAAAATAAACTTGATACTGAATTTGAAAATGAGGCTAAAATAATCATGTGCAGGCAAACATGAAGTTTGCCTGCACATGAGGTTCAGCTTCACCCAGTGGGGCACAGGAGAACCAAACAACCTTGGTGGAAATGAACACTGCATGGAGATCAACCTTGTTGGTGAGTGTTCTGAAACTCTGAGAACAGAGCTAACGATGCTATGCAGCATATAGCTACTAATTAGTTAATCTGATGATTTTAATAAATCTTAGGACCTTCTGGGTTTGTATCCCAAACAGATTCAACAGCTGCTGAAATATTTATTTATATTATTATTATTTCTCTTCAGGATCTTCTCTCTACTTGAGAGAAGATCCTGAAGAGATCTTCATCCTGAAGAGATCTTCAGGATGAAGATCTCTTTAATGAAGTAAAAATATTACTTAATGAAGTAAAAATATTTAATGAAGTAAAAATATTTGACAGCATAAAGATCATTAAGTCAAGTTTGTTTATAATGTTACTTTTTTATTTCAAAGAATTAAAATCCCATTAATCCCAAAAGAAATCCCACCAAAAACAGAATTAGTATCACAGCAGCTCAGCTGTGTGTTCACCTGAAATTTGTTCAAACTGAGCAGAAATTAAGCAGAGATGATTTTCAGCAGATGGTTGGAGGCTTCACATATTTTTGTCACAAATAAATGGCCATGACTGGTGACATTGGGCGTCGTTCCACTGGTTCACTGTTAGGAGAAAAAAGCACAAAACATCTGATTCTTTGACATTTGTTTTATTGCTTATTAATTACATGTAACTTTTAACAACACAGGGTTTCAGCCTGTGTTGTTAAAAGACAGACTGAAACCCTGTTTACATAGAAACACTTAGTTTCATTCATAAACTAAATAAACAAATTAAAAATGGGCTTACCTTTTCCATAGAAGTTAATTTCCAGACAGTGTTCTGCATGGTAATAATTGTCAGGCTGACAGACAGAAAAGCTGGAATAGTCAAACTTTGACCCGTCGTTCCACCTCCACTTTCCCTCCAACAGACACGAAACGTTAGAGCAAAAACCTGCCAGGCAGCTTTTGATCAACTGAAAGTAATTATAAACATCATTTATTGCAGGATTTGATACCTTCCAGTATACACACACACACACACACACACACACACACACACACACACACACACACACACACACACACACACACACACACACACACACACACGCACACACACACACACACAGATGCTTTGGGACTGTTTTCACTGCAGCGAGAGCTTCTTGCAGATCTTACAGTTTGAGTGCAACCTGGGAGGAACACAGCAGACGCTGTGACAGTGCAGGAGGCCAAAGTTCAAAAAAATGTAACTAACAAATAACATCATTCTGCAGATGTTTATTCTGCCCTGCGCCACGATCAATAACACGTGGAGGAAACGCTGCACTGTGCAGCAGGGACGCTCCAAGACTTCAGCTGTCACATCTTCCTTATAAGAGAAAAAACCCAAATAGCTTCCAAAGCTCTCAAAGAATATTTATCTATAACACAGATGGGTTTATTCATAGCTTTTCTTTACCTGTGTAACATCTTCTGCCCCCTTTAACAACCTCTAAAGTTTCACAGAAATAATGACCAACCTGCCAGGTCTGGAACCGGATCCTGTGAACACAAAGACATTCTGATGATAACCGACTTCTTATTCTCTGGTTTAACAGTGTCCTCAGATTCTGGTGACAAACTCTAAAAACCTTCTGCATTTTGTCATTATTCATCTATTAGTCTGGAGTTTAAAGCCAAGAGATGAAAACTGATTATTTACAGTCTCTGCTGTCTGTCACTGTGACAGTTTCAGGTTTCTAAGCTCTCTGGACGTTTTCTGGAAGCTCTTTGGGAATCCTGCTTTCTTATATTCACTTTTCTTTGTGTATTTTAGTTTTCATCTGATAAAACAGCCAAGATCAGACAGAGCAGTGAATATGGATGTTAGATTAACTTTAGATTTTATAACCTGGCTCATGTTGCAGGTTATGGATAAATAAAAACATCTCAGCATTAAATAACTCACAGCTTCAGCAGTCATCATGATGAAGCCAGGATCAACACCAGCTGAAAACCTGAAGCCATCTGTGAGGAAAACAATATTACAGCTTTTGATACCCAGAAGCAACTTGGGATAAACTTGGTTAAAACAACAGACAGTAATGAAGAGCTGGATGCTTCCTTTGCTGCAGTAAATCCTGATGCAGACAGAATCATACCAGACAGAAGAACCGGTCTTTTATCGCCAGAGGAATGCTGAAAACTTATCCTTCCTTCTCGTAAAGATGAAATAAATGTGGAACACGTGGAATTGTTTTCCAGTGAAAGAATTTGGCCGGATGCTCATTGTTATTCTGATGAGAGCTTCATCTCTCTTCAGTGTCTTCTAGTTTTCTTTACATTTTATTTGTTTTTCTTCCCCAATCTTCATCCAACTTTCGTCAATAAACCTGACATGCATTTACATTTTGCTCAATTTGCCTTTGTTCGCTACAAACAGCCTGATGGGGTGAAAACTTTGACAAACTCCTTCCAAATTATGAGGACGGTTTAAAAACTGTTTCCAGTCTGAACAGGAAGGAATATTTGGAGGAAGTTGGTTAAATGTCTGTGAGAACGCTGCCAAAAAATCAACTGGATCAGATCAAGATGGCCGCCAACCAGACGCAACACCTTCAGGACGTTTAAACAGTCAATAATTGAGAATCACTGCTCTGGAGTGAGTTTGCTGCACTGAAAGTAAAGGGGCAGAATAATATTTCATGCTTCACTTTGCAGTTTTTTATTGTTAAAAGTTTAAAATATCCATTAAATGTAATTCCATCTGAGAATTGTGTCCCACTTTTTATTGATGCTTCACAAAATAATGTTTTAGATCGTTATGTTGAAGCCTGAAAAGCGGCAATAGATTGAAAAGTTCAAGGGGTTTGAATACTTTCGCAAGGAACTGTAATTCAAAATAAAACTAAAAACAAGACACATACACACCAATTAACCCTAAAATAAACACATTTATGTAAACATCCTACTTCGGCCAGTGACTTATCATCTTGTTTTTTTTATTTTGATCAGGAAGAAAATATATATTTAAGAGTTACATCCACAGCGCTGATTATGTGACTGATTACTGGTGTCTGGATTCTCCCTCAGAGAGAAAAGCTCTGCCATCCAGGAGGGACTCAGAGTAGATCCGCTGCTCCTCCACATCGAGAGGAGCCAGTTGAGGCTGGGACTCTGGTCAGGATGCCTCCTGGACGCCTGCCTGGTGAGGAGTTCACGTCCCACCGGGAGGAGGGGAAGACAAGGACACGCCAGAGGGACGATGTCTCCCTGCCGGCCTGGGAAACGCCTTGGGATTCCCGTGGAGGAGCTGGAAGGAGAGGCTGGGAGAGGGAAGTCTGGGCCGCCCTTGTTAGGCTGCTGACCCCGCGACCCGACCCCGGATAAGCAGAAGAAAATGGCACTGAGAATGTAATGCCTGTTCCTGGTTTCTCCATTGTCACTGTATGGTGTTTTTATGATCTTTTATTTTTGTGTTTTTATGATGTAAAACACTTTGAACTGCCTTGTTGCTGAATTTAGCTTTAATACAAATAAAGTTGATTGATTGATCCCTTGTGTGTCAGCAGTGGTCTGATAAGCCTCTAAAGTTTCCTTCATGTCTTGCTGTGAGGTCAATTTGTGCTCAAGTTATTTTTGTTACTCACTCAGTTAAGGCTGTTATCTTGCCCTCTGTTTAGGTCCATTTTATCATTTTATTTTTTACATTTCTTAATAGTTTACAGAGTAGGATGGCGTTGGGAGTACAAGTCAAAGGATTTTAAAGTATCTTCCAAACTTTGGGAACCTGGTGGCTCAAGCATCTGGTCTCTGATGGGTCATGATTTCACTTGTTTGACGTTACCATGGAGGTTTACAGACAGATTTATTTCCTCTATTAATTGTATTTTACTCTAAAGTTTATTATCTTTTTCCAAAGAAATAAACTGACATGACAAAAAAGTTTATTGATGCAACAGATTTATTTGAAAAAAGATTTTATCCTTGTATCTTCCAGCAGCGACGCCATCGAGGCCTGACATCCTGGAGGAAGTGACATCACCAGTGAGAAGGTCACATGGTCATGTTGGATTTCTCAGGAAGAGGAAAGAGGAGTTAGCGTCTTTGGGACAGATGGAGTAACTCCTTGTGGTGCATGGTGCATCATTCATGTCTCCTGAAGAGAAATAATGATAATAATTATGATGATAATAATAATAATAATAATAATAATAATAATAATAATAATAATAATATAAAATAAATATTTCAGCAGCTGTTGAATCTGTTTGGGATACAAACCCAGAAGGTCCTAAGATTTATTAAAATCATCAGATTAACTAATTATTAGCTATATGCTGCATAGCATCGTTAGCTCTGTTCTCAGAGTTTCAGAATGCTCACCTAGCTCGTAGATCTCCATGCAGTGTTCCTTTCCACCAGAGTTATCTGGTTGCCCTTGCCCCACTGGTGAAGCTGAACCTCGACCCACTCCCACAGCCACACACCCTCCTGAAACCAAGTGGTTTTTTAAGCACATAGTTTATGATACATGCATTTTATTATTAGGTTCCAACACACTGAGGACTGCAGCTGTCCATCTCTGAGGGTATATAAGGTGTCCAAAGTTCACCTCAGGGGACATTTTGTAACCAGGAATAATTTTACATCCCCAAAGATCATAATCTAAATAAAATCCACCAGCACAGGTGGTTTATGCAAAGACAATTTTAATATTTTATTGCAAGATCCATTCATCCGTCCATCGATCCTTTGCTTATCTGGTCAGAGGTCGGAGACCCAGATTTCCCTCTCTCTGCCCCTTTTCCCAGCTCCTCTGGGTACAAAGCAAACAATTTGCTCTAACCATCCCTCACTACCAAAAAATTAAATAAAAAGAAAAAACTGACCTTCTCAGCATCATGGCCTCCGAGCCAGGTCCTCTCGTACGATCCTTTCGTAACTCTGATTAGCTTCTGGAGGAGAGTGAGTTCACCTTTGTTGTGGACGGAGGCCAGATTTCCACCATATCTATGGCAGGCACGCTGAGAAAACAAACAAAATCAAAATCAAAACACCCATAAACACTGAAAAGCAACAAACAGCAAAATTAAGTTAATAAAAAAGAAAAAAATCTGATTTAATTGTTAAAGTTTGTTCGACTCTTCTGAAGACAGACTTGTAGCGACACTTGATGGCTAGCAGCACATTTTGTTGCTCTGAAACTCGTTTCATTGAACAACGTCTGGAAAATGAGTCGTTTCTTTTCTCTGTATTGTCTTTACAGTCCTGATTTTTTGTGCTGCTGGATCACAACAGGTTGCAAGCAAGGGCGTAAATCCAGCAAATTATTGGAGGGAAAATAAACAGGAAGTTTTCTTAAGACCAATTTTAGGGGGTCGGAAAAGAAATCTCATGTAAAATGTGGTTTAAAAACGTCTCAAAGTTTCTAAACCACAGATTTGCTAGTTTTGATTTCCAAACCATAACAAGATTCAGTCAAAGTGATGAAACAACAAACTGCAGTCTGATTTTTATTGATAATATTTCACTCTATTAAGCAGTGAAAATAAATACAAAGTTTACATCTTTTGCTTTAAGTTACTTACTGGAGGGTTTTATGTTTAGCACTGTTTAGCTGTTGCTCCTCCTACACTTTGGACTGAACCATTGTTCTAATAATGGTGGGGGCCTAAAAATTCCTTCTTATTTTTGTCTTAGATGAGACAGATTTACTTAATTCTTTGTTTCTCTTGCCTTTTCATATTGTTTAAATGCAACATTTATTCAATTATACTTTGGGGGGAGTACAATTCTAGACTTTTCCAAGATTTGGGGGGTTAGGGGAGAACCTGGACCCTCAACAGGCTTCTTCTTGTTAAAGGGAAGTTTTCCTTCACTGTCGCTACATGCATGTTAGATATGAAGGATTACTGTAAAGTTAACAAGAAACACAACTGATCGTCCTGATGTATCACTAGGATTTATTGAAATGCTTATTATTGAGCTGAATTGATTATTTAATAGTGTCATGAAGTGAAAGTTGTTGTGAATTATGGTACATTCAATTAAACAAAAGCATTCAGAAGGAAATTCTAGATTCCAGATTAAGCTCTCAAAAACATTAAGGAAATTACAAACTGATTATTTATAAAAGAAATGTATGGTCAGACAGGGCAGATTAATTAAAAAGTTAAATAAATAAAGTGGCAGATTTACAACTAGCATAAAATTAACTGTTTTTTGCCTTAAGCAGTGATTTTTTTACTGTACCTCAGCAGTAGCCAGTCAGTTTGGTTATTCTGGAAGATGAAACAGCGATTTCCATAATTATTCCAACCACGTGGGCATGAACGAGCTGGGAAATGCAAAGAAGTGCAACAGATCCTAAATAAAAGCAAATTTATTATCAAAATGAATTTGAAGAAATTATATATCTTATCAAATGGAACAGAGACGAGCAGCAGAATCCTTGTTCTTCATAAATAAATGACAATGTATTAAAGCAGCTATGTTGTTGATGAGTATCACATTTAGACTTCTGTGTAATTAATCAACAATCCATCATAAAGTCAAATTGTAACAAACTGTCAGCTTCCTTTCCGTCAGATGGAAATACTTACCAATTCCAGCCTGTGAATAGAGAGAACATAGAGATTAATAAAAACCGTATGTCACTCAAAACTGCTAATCTAGCTGAGTTTCATCAATGTTTTTATCCTACAATTAACTTGTAGAAATTTAAGAAAAAAATTATAGGGCAGACCCAAACCCTACGGTCTGCCTTACCCTAACCCTAACCTAACCCTAACCCTAATCGTATTTTTATAAAATATATAAAGTCCTGTATCTGTTTATCCATATCAAATGAGAAACTTCTCACAGAGCATCAGAACCCAACGTTTCAGAAACTTTTATTACATCAGATCAATTTTAAAGTGCTGTAACCAAACATATTCATAAAAGGTTGAGTGAAAGAAAAACAGTCCCTATGCAATAGTTCAGGAATTCAAGCAAAAGGAGCCCAGACCGGGTGCTGAGAGCTTAGAAACTGTCAAGTTTAAAGGTACAAAGCATTTATTTAGAGGTGAGTACAATTAATTGGTAGATAATTTTTAACTACACAATTTTAATATTCTGTACATTTTAACAATATTGCATGTATTTTTTCAACTTTAAACAAAAAGTTCCAGAGGGAGTTTTAATAGTCCAAATAGTGAGCTTTGTGAAGGTCTTTTAAGTTTAAAGACCTTTAACTCACAGTTGCAGTGCCTATATGTATGTAACTGTCTGTCAGTCCTGCTCGCTGTTCACCTGCCAGCAACCAATTAGCTGTTTTATCATCCAGCTGCTGACTGACCTGATTAGACTCACCTGGTGGAGCGCCACCTGCAGGGCAGCAGGTTGCCCTTACAGTAATGAACAGAATCTTTTATCATCAATCAAATGTAATATTCAACTTTTTGGAAACACTAAATTTTGGGTTTTCATTCTCTGTGAGTCGCAATTATCAAATGCAAGATGTAATATTTGACTGTATGTGTAAGAAAATCTATATGATATAATGAGTTTGAATGTCTGACATAAATACTGAACTTTTCACAATAACTTTATTTTAAATGTTTAATACAGTAACTCTTCATTCTGTGACTCAGCTTCACTCTAAACATTTCCTCAATAATATTTTATAATGTTTTCCACTTGAGAAAAGAAGAAGGCAGACTCACATCGGCTCCGCTCCAGAGAACGCAGCTCAGAGAGAGGAGCAACGCCAAGTAGAGAACTGAGGCCATCTGAGGGACAATCAGCACAAATATTCACTTTTTCAGGAATAATGAATTTACAAAGCGGTCATATGTATTCACACCAACCATGGCTAACTAGCCATGGTTTACACTTGTTCTTATCAAACCTGAGGAAGCACTAAGGTTTGATGACTTATGTTCAAATCCATCAACTGCAGCAGGAAGCTCCAGCCAGCAGAGCACAGCTAACGAGGCTAATGAGGCTAATGAGGCTAACGAGGCTAACGAGGCAGCTGGAACACTGACTGCTAAGCATGCTGCCAATGTACCTGAGATATTTAGAGAAAGTTTAGGAACATCTTGCAGTCGACTTCCAAGTATTTCTTTGTGACCTTGGACTCTTCAGCTGAAGGTGTCAGGACAAGAGCGTCAGTGACCTTGAGTCCAGTGCTAACGTTGTTAGCCACTCTGAGATGCTTAAAGCTACAATTCGGAGCTACAGGAGGAAAACAGGCTGAAGCTGAAACTTCCTGACAACAAAAGGACAAAAAGGCATCAAACAAACTAAGTGAGCTGAAGGTCTTTTCTTAGCCGTGGGCCGAGACTCTGAATATTTTAGGCAGTACAGTGGGAGGCTGAGCTGACCTTTAGATGACCTCCTATTTGTCTTAGCAACTGAAACCCGGTGAACCGTAGCAGCAGGGAGATGCTGGACTTTTGTAGAAATTTATTTCTGATCACAAGTCATCACCAAGTTATGCTGATGCATTGCTTTTCTATGTTTCTGACCTGCTGAAGTCAAAACTCCAGATATTAAATAATGTTGGAAAATTGTCTGTAAAAACATTTCAAATGAAAGCAAACAGATTGTTTTTGGTCCACCTTTATTTAACAGCAAGAAGAGAAAGCCCACCTACATATCTAGGTAAATAGAACCCCATTAGGATGCAGCATCAACCACCCTGAAAAAAGTCCTCACATCTATAGAAACATATTTTCATGTTTGCTCAGATTTTTGGTCTTTTCTGAGACAAATGAAGAAACTCCCTGACTGACCAATCACTGCATTGTTGCTAAAGACGAGCGCGAGTCCCGAGACATTG